GGTCACCGCCGATACTCCTACTGTCGCGATTGGCGACTTCTCTAGCTTGAACTTGCTACCACCTCGTACTAGACACCCCCCAAGGAGGCCTCGCAAAACACATATCCGCTCCAGCGGCAAATTTGGGGTAAACAACCGTTATCCTTGACATGTTTGCATTGGAGAGCTAAAAAACAATTATCTATTAAATTGACTTTATAATATTGTTTCAGGGAGGCCAGACAAGTCTATTCCGTGTTTGTAGTCGCTGTGGTGGCTTCGGCCACAATCGCGCCACATGTAAGGTGCCTATATAGGAAGCCTGGAACGGAGGGGACAAGTAGATGAAGCAAGAAAGTTTGTTTTTTTTATGCTTCTTTGTTGATGGGGCTTTTTAAATTTCCGAACTATGTTGTGTAATATTATCTAATTCCAGGACCCCATAATGACTTCTGAAAGAGTTGGATGTAATATATTTCGGGCAATGTCAAAATGTCCCCTCTGTGTTTGTTTCCAGTTAATGAGTACTATTTCCTTTTCATTTCTCATCGTTAACTAGTCTATTAGTCTGCTAATCAGAGGTGGTTCTGTTAACATTATAGTTAACCAACAACTTTATTATTACCTTGTACCCATACATGATAACTGACCTATTAGTCCACTAACACCTGTATGATAAATTAACAATATAGTTAACGATATCTTATTAACTGTATGGTGGTTGGTTATTCCGGTGTTTCAGTTTCGAGATGTTCCATCACGGCATCTCCAAAGGCAAACCTCTGTCTGTCTTTGGGAGCTAGCTTGGAAAACTTACCCCAGGACTTCATCAGCTAAGAAACAAATTTTGTATCCATAAACTCAGTTTTATTGTAAGATGGGTTCGGATAAATCATGTTGAAAACTGCCCGCACATATAGGAGTAGAGCATCCATCATCTGCATTTAGGAAGTTAGCTTGTGAGAAGGGTCGTCCATGCCAAAGTTAAATTTCTGAACAAGAGGTGTTATCTTAGGCGCCATGAACTTGGTCCTCTCTGCAATATCTACCACATCCCTCCCACTAACAGACGATCCATCCCCAAGGCTGATTACCTTGCGATAGGGTAGCATTTATAAAAAAACTGCCGAAACTGGTAACTGAGATGAATGTGTTACTTACCATTGAGCTTTCACCGTTAAATGTAGCCGGGCAAACTTCTCGAAATATAGTCTCTGCTGACCGGGAGTGCATAAAAATGGGTGCGTCTCCATGGTGGACGCCAACATCTTTGTATCGACCTGGTAACCGGTAAAAGCAGTATTCTGAATCCTTGGTTTTTTCTCTCTTCGGAGGCCGACATTAGCATTCGCTACATCATCAATGAAATCATCCCCACCATCTGCATCACTTGCTTCCTGTGAATAGTTTATAATTAATATATTAACTTTACAATGCCAGGATATCTACGAAAACGTACCGCTATATGATTATATGATACCTTGTTAGTCTCAACAAACTCTCCACATTGTTTGGCCGCGTGATTACCCTGCATTTTTAATATTTTACTTAGATGAATTATATAGATATCTAATAGCATAGATAGATCTGTAACTATACCATCCAATCGGTAACAAATTAAATAGTTTTCTAACATTTTCATTGTACCCCCGTTAAACGCAAACGCTTAGTGCAGAGCTCGGGTAACAATTTGGTTGGTTTGCAATTAACTATAGTATCCGCAAACTATACAGTTGCAGCCAAAACAATATAATAAAATAATAGTTCTGACATTAAAAATAACATTATCAAAAGAGAATTACCTGGTTCTTCTCTAGCACATCGTTGCTGTCTCCAACTTTTGAACCCGCCTGCAACGTATACTTGCTCCCCACCACTGCTGTTTCATGTGAATTACATTCACCACCGGCTGGATTCTTGTCGTGTACCCCATCGACCTAGAATTGCACTGTAAGACACACCTCAACCAAATAAGAATACAACAAAAATTATACCTCAAGCAAACAAGGCACTCACCATTTGCGAGAGAGCATTCACCATTACGATGGCACCAGCAATCGCCTCATCAGCATCTTTGTTGGCGTTAAGCAGACATGGGCTAGCACTCACAGATCAAGATGCTCCGGTGGGATTTAAATTGGTCCCTGATTTGGTTGGATTTGCCTTCTGCTTCCCTACATCTGTTTTCCCCCAGCAGAAAGTAATTTATCTAAGAACCCAAGGATGTTGGAGACGAGCTCTTCCTACATTTTTGTAAATTTCTGGTCTAGTGAGGTCTTAAGGTTTTCTTCAAACCCACAAACTACCTTGTCAAGGACTCCAATTTTCAGCAGCTCTTCAGCAAGTGAGGTCTCAATAGTTGCCAACTGGTCCTTGAAGCCATTATATGAGAAATCCTCTGGCACGCTGGAATATCCAGCAGTCCCTTTGTCTGCAGCCGTCATGCCAGAAACTGACTCCATTAACTTCTCATTTTCTTTCTTCTCCCTAATCGCCACGGCGGAGAAACTTCTCCATAAGCATCTCGAAGCCAAGCCGACCCCAAGCGTAAAGAAAGAACTCACCTAGATCCCTGATTAACTCGATATGATCATACATTATTTTATAACGATGGTTGGTGGGACACAGAACGCCACCGGTTATGGCAAGGCAGGTGTACTTCAGTCGTGTAGTTCTATCCACAATAGTTCTCTTTTTTAGCATCTTCGTGGCCAAATCGACGCTGCATACTTTGAGATTTCCGAACAGATCAGGCCAATTTGGTTTCTCCTTGACCGGATTCCTTTTTTCTTCTTCGATCTCTTGGGATACCTGCCGCAGGGAAGACCGGTCACTATTGCAAACTCCCGGAGTGAAACCCTAATAGGCCGACAAGCAAACAAGATCCAAATTTCGTGCTTTTTGTTGACTTTGAGCAGTCGGGTAATGATGTAGTGATCAAAACTCCTGGAGAACGCCAGTTTCTTCGCCGTGGCGATGAGCTTCCTGAAAGGCGAGTTACGAAGATAACTTCTCTCTTCTTCGTCTATTACATCTAGAATATTACTGATCGTTTTGGCTTTGTGGTATGAGTTGACTCTTTCACTGGACGGTTCGTCGCCGGCTGCAAAAATTCTAGAAGAAAATTCAGGAGTAGCCATACCTAAATGCGACGGTTCAGAATTAGAATAGAGAAAGTTCAAACAGGATATTATTAAAATGGACGCAGAAAATAAAAATTCTGACCTCTTTCACCAATTTGATCTGAAATCTGTGTTCCCTGACTAAAAAACACCTGCGGAATTGTATTCTACTGTAAGATTTTGATGATAGATATATTAGAATGGGTGTTCTCCAAAATGATTCCTGAACAATAATTAAACTCTGATTTTCGGGAGAAAACCACTCTTTCATCCAAAATAATTTGAAATTTGAAATTTGAAATATACATCATTACATCTACAAACGTAGGGTGACTCTTATCGCACCTACTAACAGCTAGAGTATAGCAAGGTTCAACGGCTTTCTCGTATATATGAAAAAGGCAGAGTGTCGAATACAATGATAGGTTATGTTTTCAATACGGTGTTAATTTGCGTTACAGCGTGCAAATACTCATCTTTATATTTTCTCCGTGATCCTAATCTTTTTTTTTTAGAAAACTAACTAGATTCTATCCCGTGCGTTCACACAGAAAATTTTGTTTTTTTAATTAATTTTATAATATAATTTGCATATTTTTATAGATATAATATTTTTCTAATAAATAATACAATTTATTCTTATATTTAAATAAAAATTATTTTTTAAAATTTTATTTTTTCTAATAAATTTGATCATGATTATAAAAACATAATTTTAATCTATTCATTCGATTAATCCGAAAAAAACTATAAACATAACAACATAATTTTATATTATCTGTTCATATTACCATATAATATATATATATATAATTTTTTAATTTTAAATATCTAAAATTTTAAAATAATTAATTATGAAAAATTATATAATAATATATTTTTATTATCGTTATCATTATAAGAATATTATTTAAATTTGGATATTTAAAAAAAAATAAGTTAATATCTTATTTACTATTTTGTAAAAATAATAACAACTTATTTTTGTAAATTTGATGATTAATTCTAACTTTATCTAAGAAAATTTAAACTAATTGAATTAAAGTTTAGAAAATTTCGAAATTAATTTTAAAGATAAAATTTAAGTATATTATTTTATTAGTTTTTGGAAATAAAAAATAGATAAATAAAATTAAAATTTTTGTTTGATAATAAAAATAGTAAATATCTAGAAGTAAAATAGTATAAAACTAAATAAAATATGTTTGTACATAAAACATGCTTTTGTTTTAGTAGAAAAGATGGAGTTCGTTATATGACTGTTTGGAGGTAGACGTTTCGATTTAAAATTAGATTTCCGTTTGGTAAGGAGTTTGAGATAAGCTTACAGAAAGTCAAACAAAGCGAAGTTCGGTTTGAAAAGGAATCTCTCACATGCAGGACTAATCAACTACATCTATTTATTTACTTTTAATTATTGTCTCCGTTTTCTTGACTTCATGTTAATGACTTTGTCAAAAAAAAAAAAAATGTTAATGAAATTGTATCAGGCTTTATTGAATCGAACCTATTAGATATTGAGATTAAGAGAACCGATTAGTGTTAACCACATGTAATTTTGTTCGGTTGTCTTTACCAGAACCATCTGCCTCATACAAGGAGATGTATGTAACGACTTTTGACTTGGAATGAATAATACAATCATTTTCATGTTATTGTCTTCAATTCGATCATCTCTCCTAAGTCCTAACAGAACCGATCCATGTAGTGTCGGACTTGCATTAACATTTCTTATATCCATTAGAAGTCTTTACTCGATTTTTTTCTTATGTCTCACAGTTTTGATCGGATGCTACAGAATTTATAAAGAATGAACAAATAGACAAAACGAGGGATAAGTTTGGTTTGGTTTGGTTTCCCCACCTTCATATGGTGATTTTGTCGAAGAGCACTACTCCTCAGAAGGAGCTCATCCAAATGTGTTTCACGAATAACTTCGGCGGCTACAAAAAAGATATGCCCGAGAAGCTGCAGAGGTTCATGACATTGCTGGGTACTGAAAAGGATGAAGACGATGCCGGAGAGAAGGCGGCAAAGAAAATCGCGGCGGAGTTGAAACTCAGACGAGATGATATTCCCGATTTCAGCGTGTTCAACGACACGGACAATCGTCTCGGGCTTGCCCAATTGAACCAGTATCTGTTTTCTACGGAGCACAATCCGCCGATCGGTGACCAGGTGAAGTTTTTATTACTCTAAATATGAATAAAACCGTTGGGTTTGCCAGTTTCTGCCATATATCGAACCTTAGCGTTGTGTTTCACCCTAAATAGTGATGTTAATATGGGCTTGAAGGAAGCCTGCGAGTTGACTCTGTTTTGGTTCTTTGTGAGTTTCCTGCTTGAAAATAAGGACACACTTTGTAAGAAGTATGACTCTGTTTTTTTCAGGTCCATCATGACATGAATGCTCCGTTATCGCATTACTTCATTCACACCAGCCTCAAATCCTACTTTACCGGGAGCCAATTCTTGGAGAGATACAGCAATGAGCCTATCATTGATGCGCTTAAACAGGGTGTGAGGGTGGTTGAACTAGATCTGAGGCCGTGTGGTAAAGACGGCATCTGCGTTAGCGGTCATCGCTGGTATTGGGTTTCTCCTATTTTACTTAATTCATGAATTTGTGCAGACCCATTTGTCCATTCTTGATTGATCTTGCTCTGAGCTTTTGTTTTCATTATGAACTTGATAGGAACTCGAAGAATCCTCTGAAATTGGAAACGTGTTTGGATTCTATTAAAGATCATGCCTTTACCCCCGGAAGAAGTTATCCTGTGATAATTACTTTCAAGGACGGCTTGACACAGGATCTTCAGTCCAAAGCTACTCAGGTTTAGAATCTTCTTCTTCTCCCCATTTTCCTCAATGATTATTGCTACATATTCTAAATTTCTGGTCACATTTGTATGTATGATTATATTGACATGGGTATGAATTCGTATTTTGTGTATGTAGATGATAAATGAGATATTTGGTAATATGGTATATTACCATGATCCTCATAGGTTAGGGGAGTTTCCTTCACCATCAGACCTGCGTAATAAAATACTAATATCCAGAAGACCCCCAAAAGAGTTGTTATTTGCCAATGATGATGACCAAACGGTTGTCGTCCAGAATGGGAATGAGACACAGCAGGAAGCGGCAGATCAGAATTACCAGAGTCTTGTTGCCTTTCATGCTGTGGAGCCAAGCGGCATGCTACTACAAGCATTAACAACAGACAAGGTGATCCAACGGCCAGGATGGTACGAGACAGATGTTATAAGGTACTGTGGAGCAAAATAAATGTATGTCTAATATACCAAAACCTTTACAACTGAATCTCAACAGGGTGACAGTAGTTGGGTTGCGAGTACTGAAATGTTATCTGATTAAAAAGATTTGGCAATAAACAGCTTCACCCAAAAGAGATTCTTGCGGACACGTCCAAAAAAAGGAAAATTAATTATGAATGCCCCCTATAAACCCCAGAGAGCTTGGATGCATGGTGCTCAAATGATTGCACTAAGCAGGCAGGTGTGCCTCCAATCTTTTTTCTGGTCTCTCTTACTATTGAATGTATAGTGGTTATTGCATGAGCATGTGTGCGCTATGTGGAGTCAACCATGTGTTCGCTAAAGCAGTGAAGCTTATAAATAGGTTATTTGTCTGTTTCGGACCTATTTGGAGTCCATGTCACGAGTACAAACGTGCTTTTACCACGTAATTACAGGAGGACAAAGAAAAACTTTGGCTGATGCAAGGGATGTTTAGAGCGAATGGAGGGTGCGGTTATGTCAAGAAACCAGATTTTCTTTTGAATGCAAGTCCTGGTGGAGTTTTCTATCCAACAGTAAATCCTGAGGTGAAGAAGACGTTAAAGGTTTGTCATGCTACAACAATTCTTTGTCCCATGCTTCCATTTTCTCACTCAAGATATGACATTATATCTTGCAGGTCAAAGTCTACATGGGAGATGGATGGAGCAAGGACTTCAAGAAGCTTGGTCGACTGACTAAGCCAGAGTTATATGTTTTGGTAAAATCTATTTGGTTGGTCATAATTAACTCTCTTTTTTTATTTGAAGTGAGTTTGATTTTGGTTCATTTAATTTGTCGAAAATGCACAGATCAGTATTGCCGGTGTACCCCATGATGAGAAGATTAAAAGAACGACGGTGAAGAGCAACGAATGGCCGATGTCAAAGAAAGAGAAAACAGAAAAAAAGAACAGAGAATGGATACCTACTTGGGGAGAAGAATTCACATTCCCTTTGACCTATCCTGACCTTGCTTTGCTTAATATCCAAGTCTACGACCACGAAATAGCTGCAGATGGATTTGGAGGTCAGACATGTCTACCAGTTTCTGAACTAAAAGAAGGGATTCGAGCTGTTCCACTTTATGATGAAAAAGGAGAGCGATGCAGCTCGACAATGCTGCTCATGCGTTTCAGGTTCTCGACCAATTAACTAACCAGCTTCTTTCTTTCCATTGTTGTATTTTGCTTTTTTTTTTTTATCTACTTATTTGATTTTGCATTGGGGACTGACATTTTTAAGAAAGGATAGCTCCAAGTGTACAACTATACTTGGGGTTTCACTTCCAAAACTCTCCTCTCATTGTCCTGCAAATCCATATATGTAATTCGAGATTGTTTTAAAACTTGGAGATTCTTTTCACCATAACTCTTTAAGTTTAAGTCAACTTCCCATGAAACTGATACCCTATAGATAACTTTTTTTTTTAATTTTTGGTAATCTTTATAAATAACTTCACATTTTAACCTAATTTAGTTTAACAACTAGCTACACATTAGAAGAGGATATCAGATTATATAGAACGCATTAACCAAATTACATTTTGCACTATTGATCTGTTAGTACTGTTACAACAAAGTATATCAGAAAATCAGGATTAAGTCCGTTAAAGCTATACAGGCCAAAAAGTCAGTCTGAAAAGTATTCTGCAAATAACTGAGCTTTTCGGTGGTGTCTGTGTGAGAGAGAGAGAGAAGTGGTAGCTTTGAGTGTATAAGTTCTCTTCTAGAGAGTATATGAAATTGGATCTAAGCCTTAAGGGCAAGAAACAGAGGGAACAAGAGTGAATAAAATGCAAGGCGCAACTTCGTAAATCGTAACCATCGAAGAAGCTGATGTGCCTAGTGTGACGACAATGCTAAACCAGGTGTTCTTATTTCCTTGGTCATCTTCTGACCATTAATATTTCATCTCCCAAACTAACTCTGTTCTGTAACACACACGCAAGAAGTAGGCTTTAATATTTAGTCTCTTGTTCACGTGAAAAAAAAAAACAGATGGCATTTGGATAAACACAGCAGATTTGATTTTGGTATCGCCGTATCTATAAAATATACGACACACACATATACCTCTAAAGCAAAACTGAGATGAGTTTTGGAATTCGTCTTCTTTTGTTCCTCATACTAACCCTTCCACTTGTTACATCTTCTGCACGCAACACTCTCTCTGTTTCAGGTCTCATCTCTTTCAATTCCTTCTTCTTCTTCAACTTCATGTTTTGACTTATAGAAATCAATGTTCAAAAAATCGCTAGGCGGTGGCTAGGCAGGTAATAGGAGACTAGCGCTTAGGCGGATTAGTCGGAGATTAGGCAGAGCGTAGGCGTTAGCAAAAATTTTGTTAATTTTTATAAATTTTCTATCTATATATCATATTTTTAAAAAAACTTTAATTGTTTTCTTAAAAATTATTTTATCAAAATTTATGTTTGAATGAAAAAGTAAGAAAATTTAATAAATAAAATTATAGAATAAAGTTTAACAAAAAAATCAAACTAAAAATCATCAAATTCTTCAAACTAAAATAAGTTTTAATCTAAAAACTTTAAAGATATAAAGCAAAGAGAAATATATCTAACTTATTCTTTAAACACATCCATATATATCCACCACCTGCTCATTTTTAGACTCAAATTCAAAATCAATAGCTGTATCATTTTCATCGTCGGAATCAATATCTCTTCTAGGTTCATCGTTAAAATTGAAAGTTGAAACTTAAAACAGAGCACAAACAAAAACAAAGTAAACAAAGATGAAAAGACAAATTAAAAGAATACAATATAGTTATATAATATGTACAGATAGATAAAGAGAAGATTAAACAAACTTGTAAAGTTCATAAATAGAGAATAATGATCGCCTCTTGTAGCTTATGAAAGTGAAGTAGCAGGGAGAAACAAGGATGATTATATTAAGTTATTAACCCTAATTCATATTTCAAATTTTTTTTCTCTCTCTGTAAACCGATATTGGTTTACTATCCAAAACCTTAAAATTTGACTGAAAAAATGATAAAAATAATTAGTCTGATTTGGCCGATTTTACCGATTTGGTCTGATTTTTCCGATTTTCTCCGACTTGATCCGGTTTTTTACTAAACCGGATTTACTTCACTGATTTTATGAAAATTAGGTCGGTTAACCCCGACTAGCCGCCTAGTCGTCTCGGCGGCTAGGCGGATTTTTTGAACACTGATAGAAATATGTGATGTTCTGATTCTGTTTATGGGTTTACCCAAAATTGAACTGGTTTTTATTTGTTAGAATTTGGAAAGACAAGGATTGCAAGGAAATCGTTGATGGTGAACATCGAGGATTATGGTGATCCATCTGCTAACACCAGACACGATCCCAGCTTTCCAACCGATGCAAAGGCTGACACAACACCTTAAAACTCTTTGACTTTTACTTATTTTAGTATGAATAAATATGTAATAAAAAACTGTTTTGAGCTTGTTGAATTCCCATTCATCTGAGTAGCAAAGCAAAAATCTTTAAGAAAACCATGTAAACTATGTATATCAATCAGACAATTTGTGGAGATCAAGACATGGTGTTGTTGCTAAGACAAAAAAACATGGACATTTTGGCACATTAGCTTTTGACATAAACACATTATCTTGTGTCTATACCATGGAGCTTCGGGTTAGGGTTTCAGAACCTTCTAGCCGGAGAGATTAATCAGTAGCTGCCTGTGACGAATGGTTTCGTCAGGGCTCTGCTGATGACATCTCTCAACTCAATCTCCCCCGGAAATCTACCTTCTTTCAATTTAGAAAACACCTGCAAAGACCAACCATTAGATCGGATTAGCTTTACTAATACTAACACTGATACATTTGGCACAATAGCAGCACAAGTCTGTTTTCTATATAAAGCTTATCGCAGAAAGTGATCTGATACTGTAAGAGAGAGACACTAAAAAAAAACTGACCATTTGTCCATTGCAGCTAACTTCAAAAGCGCCTGAACTTTGCAGGAAAGACTGCAGGAAGTTACCGAGAAGCCAAGTAGAAGCCATGGATCCGAACCTATTTGCCCTCAGAGAGTGGTACCAAGCAGGAGGCTGTGCAATCCCGATCATGGGAAAGATATGCTCACCTCCCATTATGAGACCAATTACTCCCATCTGAGCAACTGGCACAACCTTAGCTAGAAGCCGTTTAGGCGCTGGTGGTGGGTAGTTTGCGAGCACTACTTCTAATCCAGGAAAAGCCGTCTCTAGCATCTTCTTCATTGTTACTGCAGTTCCCCTGCAAATCAAAACAAGAAACTCTAAGAATGTGCAAATCCTGCAGTAATACACATCAGTATACCAACTTATGCTAATTCAAAAGGTCACAGCTTTTAACAGTCATTCAATAGGAAGTGTCAAAAATCTACAATTTATACATAAATGTAGCACCCAACATATCAAATCACGAATAAATTTCATTTCCGAAAACTTCAAAATGCAGCTAGGTCCAATAAGGATTATCAAGAATTAAACTTGTAGCATTCATTCATGGGAAATCGAAATATCTGATAAATTCAAAAACATTTCAGCTCTAAACAATAGTGAAGATGATGCAGATGTTGAAATTAGGAACAAGACTAAAGCTAATGAACCAAATCGACTTATAAGATCAAACCCAAAACTTAGAAAGAAATCGTAAGATACTTGTAAGAGCAGGAGACGCAGAATTTGATCTCTACGGTATTTCCATATCCAATTCCTCCAAGACCACTTGACTGCTACTCTAACAAATAAAGAGGAACGATTAGAACGGAAACGTGAGAGAGAGATTAGTAAGGATAAAAGAGAAACTAGCGATGAATTCACCTGAGATGGGAAATCTAGGGTTTCTGGGACAAAAGTCGCCGGACGCTGCGGATGAGAGATAGGCGGTGGTGGGTGGTTCTGAGATTTCGGCGGTGGCGGAGTGAAGAGATTGAAGAGATCAGAACAAAACAAGAAAATCGGCAATCCCAACAAGATCAATTGTGTCCTGTCCATGGCGGAGGAATTGAATCTCAGAGAGGGAAAGATACTAGAGAAGGATGAAGTTGAATTTGAAGGAGCGATCGGGGAAGAAAACAGCAGAGAAGCGTTGTTTGGAAGCTCGGATATCATTATCCTACTCATTGACTTTTTTATTACACTTTAACACCCCATTGCTTTCAAAATGTATTCAACACACCCCCGACATTTGTAAACCGAACAAGGCCCATTAGCTAGCTAATGAGAAGAGAATAAATTCTGGCTTCGAATGGTGACGCCGACAAAAAAAATGCAGATCATACAGATCACGTAGATCAAATGCAATTCATGGGCAGAATAATTACAAATCATATAAATTTAATAATTTAAAATGTTTAATTGAATAATACAAAAATATAAAAATAATACAAATAAAAAAAAATGCAAATACATCATCAAACAAAATAGAAAAAACTAAACTAATATGGGGTATTTTGATCTTCCCATACAAATTTGCAATATTTTCCCTAATGTGTGTCATAATATTTTCTTCTTCTGCGGCTTCTGTAGCATTTTCTTCGGTCTTGATGTTATTCGCTCTTCGTCTCATTATTTCGACAAAATCTTCATCTGAAACGTTTGAGATTCTAATAAAATTATGTAGTCCTATTGTAGCCATTACAACTATTTTCTGAACATGAATATCATATCTAGGAAATTCATAAAGAATCCTCCATTTTTTTTTCCAAACGCCAAAAGTCCTCTCAATAACCGAGCGTAAAGATGTATGGTATCGATTAAACAATTCTTGTTTATTTCTAGGAGGAGGACCATTCTCGAATTGTGACATATGATACCTGACCACCATGTTTCGTGAAGATCTAAAAGGTGCCAAAAAACCTTGTTTATTTGTATTGCCAGAATCAACTAAATAAAACTTATCTTCCGGAGGCAAAGGAAATTCGGAATCATTGTCTTGCGCCATAGTGAGAACTGATGTATCATGACATGAATCTGGTGCTCCATTCCAAACATAGGTGAATAACATATTCAGATCACATATAGCCATTATATTAAATGATGTATAATTGTGACGGCTCTAATACATTCCTCGCATTTCAGGCTTCACTTTGACGCATACGTGAACTCCATCCATGGCTCCAACAAACCCACTAAAATATGGCCAATATTTTCGTTTCATCAGCCGTCGTTCGGGAATCCGGCTTAGTTCTTGCCTCGTAGGAGTCCTAATATAATCACAATCAAGTAACTCAACTGCTCTAAGCACTTCAAAAAAATTTCTATTCACTGTCTCTTGTGTTCGTCCAAAACGCAATCCCACACTTCTTTGGACCTTGTTGTGCCCACATATCCCCAGAAATATGGCTACACTCTCTTCAATGCTTACATTTAATGTTGGTTTTAAACCATAACTAGTTTCCAGTTCACCACACAATGTCATAAAACAATCTAGTGACATTCGTAGTGTATAGAATAATTTCAAATTACATGCATAAATTATTATACTAATTTTACAATTTATATAAATGTGTACATATCATAATTATTTTTTTTCTTTTGATTTTGTTTTTAAGGAAACTTGAAAATTGTATTTTTAAAAATCTAACTTCAAAAAGATAAGAACCACATGCATGTATTTGAATATGTGCCTAGGACAAATATATATATATATATATATATATATATATATATATCAATTTTATAAACAATATATATATAACATGCATGCATGAATTTATTATAATAATTTATATGAATATCTATATTTCATAATAAGAATTATTTTTTTAAGCAGGTATTAATAATTTTATATATATATGTCTATAGTAAAAATTTTGAATTATTTTTTTTGTGTTTACAAAGAAAAATAATTAAAATATTTACCATAAACTATTGGACATGTATATCAAATTATACATACATATTAGAACATGTTTATGAAACAATATGTAGGACAATTATTTATTTAAACATTTGTAATTGACAACAAAAAACAAAGAAATATCAAATACAAGGAACGTACCTTTTTACTTCAGTGTGAAAGAATTATAAGGAAATGGTGGTAATGGTAAGTTGTGCATGAAAGAAGTGATTTATTATACTGAAATTGGAAAAATAAAATAAAATAAAAATTAGAAAATTGTTGCAGATCAGGCGGACTGGTGGGAAAGTTGTGCAGTCCGTGCATGCCTTTCTTTTCTACGGAAAAATGATCTGCATGCAGTTAAGAATTAAAATATTATTTTTCTTTTGTAGTCTTTTTATGTCATGTGGTTACATATTTGCAATTCATCCTTTTTGACAGATGCTCTGCTTTTTTCCCATATCCCATTCAGAGCTTCTGTTTATGATTTGATACCAAATGATCTGAACTTTTACTAGCTGACTAATTTTGACAGTGTAGCTTATTCATCAGATTTTTTTTATGATAACAATCATTTCAACTGGTCAAAAAAAGTGATTAGATGATTTCATATTTACAAAAAAAACAGGTTTTGTGCAGGCGGAAAAGTTTCATAAATAGAAAACAAAATCTTATGTTATAAACGAAAGAAAATTAAAACAATCATTTGAGATATACCTAATTAAAATAAAATTAACCTAAAAAGTATACATCATTCATAATTAAAAATCCAAAAAGCAACAAATTAAGTATATGAAACCAATGAAAAAAAATATAAAACCCATAAATCAAATAAACTAAAACAAATGCAATTTTTTTCTTCATTTTTCCTCTTCTTTGATTTTTTTTTTATTTTTTTTATTATCTTTTTGTATTCTTTTTAATCTCCCCATTTTTTTCTCACATCTTTTTCCTGTTTTTTGGTTGCCTTCTGTTTTTTCTTCTTCTCCTCCTCCTTTATCATTCTAATGTTTTCTTTTACTTCTTATTTTTACGGTTTTTTTTTGTCACATCTTCTTCTTCCTTTCTACATCTTTTCTTTCTTCCTCATCGTCTCCGACTTCTACTTCATCTTATACATTTTTCGATTCTCTTACTCCTTATTCTGATTATTATTTTTTCTTTTGGTCTTCTTCATTCATTTTCTTCATCCTCATCTTCTCCCTCTTAATTGACTTTTAATTTTCTTCTTTCTCGTCCATTATTTCTTTTCTTTTTCACTGTCTTCGGCTTCGTCTTCTTCTCCCTTTTTTTCCACTTATTTGTCTTTCAAATTTCTTATTCCTCGTTCTTTCTTTCCTCTGCTTCATTGTCTTTGACTTCTATTTCTTATTTCTCTTCTGCTTTGTTCTACTCTCTTCTTATTCTTTTCTTTTCGGTTTTTTCTTCTTTGTATTTTTTTATTCTTTTTTTTTCATTTTTAATTTGTCTTCTTCATTATTTTCCCATTTTAATCCTTTTGTCTTCTTTTTCCTCTACAAATTCTTCATCTTCTTCTCCTACTTATCCTTACAAATATTCGTTTTGTCGCTTAAAAACCTGCAAACGAACATCACTGCCAAAAAAAAAATTCATATATAAGTAACTACTTATCCTTATATAGGTTTTATAGTTTTGCTATAAACAAATATTTAGTCGTGCGGTCTTATTCTGACTTTTTGGTTTATGAACTGCAGATATGGATTTCGGGTTGCCACCTGTCGTTCCATCAAATATTGTTTCTGTACTTTTGCTTAATAAAAAGAGCACTCTTCTACAACAAAGACACAATGACTAAGCCAATAATTTGCACACGAAAAACGCTTTCTGAGACAGAACACGTTTCGTGTATATCAGATGGAAATAATTAGAGAGTTAGAATAGGACTCGAAGTCCGATTGATCACATCAAAACAAACAGAACCCGACACAGTTCATCATCATTTGGGTAATAAATCCAACATATGGAAATTTACAGGGATAATTGGCAAATTACACTATTTTGGATTTTGAGTTTGAAAAATACACTGTCATTATTATTACTAGGGTTGAGTCCGCGCTTCGCGCGGATTTTATTTTATATTTTTATGTGTTTTATATTTTTATGTGTTTTTTAAAAAAAAATAATCTGTTGGATAAATTTTTTATAGTTTAATAGTTTTTTTCTATATTTGCATTGTACAATCCTTATTAGTGTTTGTATATAATAACAAATTTTCTTAATTATGTTATTAATTTCTGTTAATTTTTTTTATTTCATGTACTTTTATATTTTGTCTGTCACTATTGTGTGATTTTTATTACAGTATTAAAATTATTTTTTTTTGTTAATGCTCTACACGTTGCGCAGTAATAATTTTTAATCATTTATTTTTACCTTTTTTTGAAATTTAAACATCATATTTATCCATTTTTGTTAATTTTTTTCTTCTTCTCCATTTTTATATTTTCATATTTTGATATCTTTATCTTCTGTTCTCTTTCTTTGTTTTCATATTTTTCAAAATTCTTTTTCATCAGCTTTGTGTTCTTTTTTTTATTATCCATATTCCTCTTCATGGTCTTTAATTTCTATTATTTTTCATCTTTTTAATATCTTCTGTTTTTGTATTTTGATTTTTCTTCTTCCTTCTATTTTTCTTATTATTTTTCATTATTTTTTCTTTTTTTTAATTATCATCATTTTAAAACATTTTTTCAATTTAATAATTTATCATTTTTAAAAATATATATATATTTAATCCAGTTAGTATTACAATGTTTTTAATTATTAATATCTAATTATCACTTATTTTTTATTTATACTATAATTTTTTTAATTTAATTTAATTTATACTAAATTTATTAATAACAAACATTAATATATTTATTAAATGCATACTTTAAATATACTTAAATGTTAAGCTTTATGAATTTGCTGATGTGGATAGTCTAGATGGAGAGAAAACTCTCTCATTATATAATAGATTATTTTTTTTGAAAACTACACTTGTATATGTAAAAAGCTTGGGAAATTGATAAAAATAGGCCACAATTTGATTCCAAATGCAAAAATATACTCCAAATTCAACCTATTGCAAAAATAGGTCAGAGGGGTAGAGAAATTACCATTATCTCGTACATGAGTAAACAATAAAACGAATGTCTCAATTACGATTATAACCCTGCGAAGTCTGCAAATACTAATGAAGTCTTCTCAGCAGACTGATAAAGAAGTCTACTATATTATTAAATATTATTTTTAAATTTTAAACTTATATAAAAATAATGTAAACTGAAATTTGTTTCTATAAATCAAATGTCAACAAGTATGATCTATAAAAATTATAATTTCATAAAAATGAATCATTTTTAACCATCTAAGATAAACATAAAAAGTGAAAAGTTTTAAACTAGGGCTGCAGACTTCTTTATCAGTCTGCTCAGAAGACTGATAAAGAAGTCTACTATATTAATAAATCTTAGTTTTAAATTTTAAAATTATATAAAAATAATGTAAACTGAAATTTGTTTCTATAAATCAAATGTCAACAAGTATGATCTATAAAAATTATAATTTAATAAATATGAATCATTTTTAACCATCTAAGATAAACATAAAAAGTGAAAAGTTTTAAACTAGGGCTGCAGACTTCTTTATCAGTCTGCTCAGCAGACTACGGATCGAAGTCTTGTCAAACCAGAATAATTAACCTAACCGGAATTTTTTTTTTAACATAGTATATAAAGAAACTTACCAGTCGTTACCATAAATAAAAACCCTAGATCACTGTAAAACGGCGCTGCACTCTAGTCTCTCTCGCCGCGACTCTCTCTCGCAGTAAGCCTTTCCCGGCGCTCCCCATCTCTTCTTTTCTGTTTCTGATGCATATGTTGTTTCATATATATATCACTACATATATTGTTGCTGCAGATCTCAGCCGGCGTCTTCATCGTTCTTAGTTATCTCTCCAGATCTGTGAGTTATTCGCCATTACATTCTCTGTTTAGTCTGTATCTTATTGTTTACTGGTTTGTCCTTTAAAATTGTTCTTTTGTTCTTTTGTCCTTTTGCTTTACTGTTTTTTTAACAGATCTAAGTAAAAATACTTTTTTCACAGATTCCGTGAGCAAGTAAGTAAAAATATTTCGATTTTTTCTTTATTTCAAGATGTACCTTTTTTGTTATTTTGTTGTTTAGCGAGTAAGAAATATTTGTTTGAAAAGTTTGTTTTTGTTGTTTTGTTTTTAGCTGCAAAGTTATTATGTGGTCGTATCTGTTTTAGTTTTTTGTTTGTTAACTGCCAAGTTTGTTTGCTTGATCTCTACAGAGTAATGCCGATAAGCTACACCAACAGCTCATCTTCCAAAGCAAGCTATGACAGCGGGTGTGCCAAAGCTGATGGAGACTTTGGGATACCTGAACGATGCTATTGCGGCCTTCGATGTAGATTGGAAGAGTCTACAGCTCCAGAGACGTTTGGCAGGAAGTTCTATAGTTGCCCTGAAATATTAGGCGAATGTGTATAGTTTTAATGAGGTTTTTCTCAATATGTGTATAGTTTTAATGTTATTCATCGAGTATAACTGAAGTTTTCGTTTGTCATATGTGTAGGATAAACCGGGTCACATCTCCAAATGGTGGGATGAAGCCATTGAAGAGCAGCTGACCATTCTTCAAATACGAATTGACAAGCAGAGCGAAAGCATGTTCCGTGACAACCGAACAGCCCTTCTGCAATCATATGAGAATCGGCTGTATGCATTGGAGGATCGCCTTGCTGCACCGAGAAGACCATTAGCGAGATCGAGGAGTCATAGGGTTCATTCAGAGTGAAATTGCTGGAGTGAAAGAGCACTTGCTAGTCGAGGTTGTGACATCCTACTGTGTGTTTTTTTAGTTATTTTCGCAGTAATCTCTTGTGTTATCATGCGTTGGGATGTAGAATAGAGGACCAAGAGACTTGTGTAACCATTAAGTAGACTAGAGGGGATAAAACATATGTATATGACTTCTATGGTGATTAATGTTGGTGTTGACTGTTGCATATACATTCTCCGTATACTGCGGAAGCTATGTGCACTATGTGTATTGTGTACGTATGCAGGCCCATGAGTTAAGGGTCTCTACATACAATCTCTAAAACTACTTTTCATATGATATTAATAAAAACACATTTGGAGACCCATGAGGGTATCTGCACTGAGGATGCCCTTAGGCAGACTTCGTTGGAGACTTATTAAACAGACTTAATATGCAGACTTCTTAGGCAGACTTCTTAACCAGACTTAATATGCAGACTTCTTAGGCAGACTTCTTAAGCAGACTTAATATGCAGACTTAATACGTCGAATAAACTAAACCAGACAGTTTTAAAATTATATTGCAAACCAGCTATAATTGGATAAACCAATTGCGTTTTAAATAACAAAATCGATAAACCACATTGAACTGGTACGACGGTTATTAAACTGGTACGACGGTTATTGAACTGGTACGACGGTTATTGAACCGGTACGACGGTTAAATAGGTTTCTACCGTCATATATAAGAGTTGCTACGAACACTGTATTAACACAAATCAGTAAAAAAAAAAACTACTGTCGTTAGGAAAATTTTTCTCGAAACTTGTCGCCGGTTTTTACTGTACATCCGTTTACCGTTTAAGGTAAGTCGAAATTAATGCCGACTTCTCTTTTGGATCGAAGTCGTCTGTGTAATTCACGAACCCTAATCTCCTTCGCTTTGTATTCCAGATCTGGTGTCGCCGCCGTCCGTAACTGTTCATTTCCGCCGTCTGTTCATTTTCGCCGTTGGTCGTGGAAAGGTATTTGGCTGTACTAATTTCTTATAATTTGTAAATAAATATCTTTACGGGTTCCAAGTTCCCAGTCGTTTGGGTTTCTACATCGGTTTTTCTAAAAATCGGACAACACCGAGTAGATATTTCCAAAGTCGGACAAAAATCGAATACCCGTTTCCAATTTCTAGTTGCTGTGTTACAGATATCTGTACTTTTTTTTATTTATTAAACGGAATTGTATAGTGTTAGGCGAACTATTTTGGAAGTATTATCTCGTAAAACGGAGTTCAAAACGGAGTTCAAAACGGGTTGTGTTTTTTTAGAGAACTTTGTCGGCAGCTAGTTTTTTTGAAACTTTATTAATTACACTATTAGGTCCACAGACTTCAATTGCAGACTTAGTTGGCTGACTTCGTGTGCAGACTTCTTCGTAAGTCTTCATAAGTAGACTTCTTGAATATTTGACTTCGTTTTGCAGACGTCAGAACAGCCAATGGAAAACCCAGAGTTCCCCCCCCCCCGCGTCTCTTCTCGAAAGGCGATGAGCCGTCTCTGCTGAAAAGCATCGGTTACTATAGCGGTGAGACGAAGCTGATGACTGCACTCGAGGAAGCACTCACACAAGATGAGTGGGAAGAGATATTGAACTCTAAACTGGGAGTGTTCTTGAAGTTCAGTCAGCTGGATTTCGACTGGGCATCTAGACTGGTGCATTACATTCTTGGCATGCAACTAGTTTGCAAGAAAAAATTTGAGATTTGGAGCCTCGTAGGTCTAATCCCGATTCGCTTTTTTTTGAATGAGTTCGAACATATTACTGGCTTGAATTGCGAGTACGTGGACAACCTCGAGGATCCGGTGGTTGAGATAACTGAGGAGATGCAAGATTTCTGGGAGCGATTGGGAGTCAATCAGGATTTGGGCCCGAGCACTGAAGATTTGATAGAAGCTTGTAAGGAATGCGGGTCGTGGTCTTCCGAGGATCGGTTGAGGCTGTGATACCTTAGCATTTATACTAGGTACATTGAAGCACGAAAACCATCTTCAGCTACTCGGGCTAGGTTGGCAAGGCTTGTGATGGATTTAGATGCGTTTGAAAACTACCCTTGGGGAAGAGTGGCCTTCAAAAACCTGATGCGGTCGGTGAAGGAGAAAGAAATTTGGAAGTCGTCGTACACCATTGAGGGGTTTGTTCAAGTACTACAAGTCTGGGTTTACTTTGCTCTTCCCGACTTTGCTGCTAAATTTGGTGAACCACTTCCAAACGACCCCATTGTACCGCTGATAGCTTACAAGGGATCCAGGGGGAGGAAATTTATGAAAGAGAATATGCTCCGACAGGTAAGTAGTCTGAATTCATACTTGGTTGACTATTATATCGGCAGACTTATTTAGTAGACTTCTAGTGCAGACGTCTCTAATATACAGCAGACTTCCTTAGTAGATTTCTAATGCAGACTTTGTTGGTAGACTTCTACATTATACTTTATATAACACAGTTTTGATTTCCATGTAGACACGCATTAACAACTACGTTGTTAAGGAATTCTTCGACATGTTTCCGCACTGGGAAGTTGAAGACAATGATGAAGAAAACGAGAGGACTGACAACATCATCAAAGCGATGTATGGTCATTTTGGCCCTAAACAATGGACATGGGAAAGGAGTCATTGGCCTCCAACAGGTGTGACCAAGTATGTCAAGTCCGAAGGGTCTGTTGATCTGAAGAGGCGATCGGAATCAGTTGGTGATCAAGGAAGTCGGAAGTGGTTCTGCCCAGCCTCTGGTGAGGAAGATGAGTCAATGGTCACGATTCTGAAGGACCACATGGACGACTGCTTCAACAAGATGATGGATGGGTTGAGTAGTTGTGAATCACAGATCAAACTACTCAACACAAAGTTGGGAACGGTGGAGCAGAAATTAGAGGCAGTGATCCTCCAAGCTGGGACCGGAGGTACAAAGGAGGATGTGGCTCAGACTGGTGAAGCAGCCGCCGAGGACGCAAAACCTGTTGGCAACGATCAAACGGACGCGGACGCCGATCCTAATATCGGGGTTAGTCCAAAACCCGCTCCAAAGAAAAGAGGAAGGAAACCCCGGAAAAAATAAAATTCCATATTTGTTTTCAAACTTCTCATCGAACCTTACCAATCTGTTTTAAAACCTTAGAAATCGTTAAAATGTTGTCACCACTAAATATTTAATGTTTTTATTTGTACTCTTTAATGTTTGATGTTTGGTTTCGTTTCATTGATGTGTGTTTAAATCTTTATATTTGCAGAGTAATTTTATGTCTAAGCAAAATGAACAAACTGATGTCCCAAGTGAGAGCGTGAACGATGGTAAGCAGAGAACTCCAGAGCCAAGCGTCGTTATGGTTGATCCAGCAAAATGCGACATCGACTTCGATCAGGTCCAGAAAGATAAACACGAGAAAGGCAAGAAGGCGGCACAACTGGTTGCTCGTGCGAAGAGTGAACGTCTGAGAAAGTTGGCTCCTACACAACAAAGCCCTTTCAAACCCAACAACACAGCGAAGGAAATAATCCCAAACAAAAATGTCTGAGGGTGTGGATATGATCCGTTTGATATGAAACACGTGAAGCAAAAGATCGGTGTGCTAACTGATTGTCTGAAAAAAGATCCGTAAGTCTTTGTTTTGGAGTTAGCATAAAGCAGACTTTCTATTGTAAGAGTAGTGGATGATATTGTAAAATGGTGGTGTTTTCAGGAACTATCCGAAGCGGGTAAAATGGTCATCCGTGGACTGGTACTTCATCCTAAGAGTCCCAAAACAATGGCTAGCAGACACTGTAAGTTACGTGAGTGTATATATGATATGAACACAACATATTTCTCTCTGCTTGAATAATTGTTTTCATTGAATATGCAGCACATGGAAGCTAGGATTAACCTACTCAGGCTGCGATTTACAAAGCATCCTGAGTGGTTTAGGTCGGACAGGATAACATTCCTCAACTCTTACTTTGCAACGATGTGGAGGCACAAGTACAAGGAGTTCGTGGACTCTCACGCCAACCCTGATGGTTCAGGCAAGCTCCTTCCAGTTAGCTCGTTTGAGTACTACACTGGCGCAGCGCCAACCTACTGCGTTAGGGTATGATGTGGATGACCTGTACTCGATGTTACACATCACTGATGATCACTGGATGGCAATGTGGATTTCGATTCCGATGAAGCATATTGTCATTTGGGATAGCCATGCGAATACTCATGCATCGGATATTCAGATTGAGGCTGCTGTGACTCCGATTACCGTCTTGGTTCCCTACATACTCCGTGAATGTGCACCTGCTGAAGACCGTATCAATCTGACTTATGATCCATTCATGTGGGAGCGAATCAAGGGGCATTTGATCCCAAAAAAAAAACAAAGCGGTGACTGTGGCGTTTACTGCTTGAAGTACCTTGAATGCCATGCTCTAGGGATGCCATTTCCTAAGACCTTGTGCGATGCAAACATTAAAAACGTCCGAGACAAGCTGGCAGCTGAGATATTTGACGAGACAGGAGTAACCGGCACAGAGAAGTATGATTATCCATGGTTGGACGTATACGAAGGTAAGTGATATGTCCAACTATGTATATTCTGTACTGAAAGAGAAAGGACTCTCGTTGGGTGTGGTATGGTTGGAAGTTTTTGGTTAACCTGCCAGAATTGTTGTTCTCTATTTAACTGTAATGTTCCTAACTAAGTTCGGTTTGTTTAGTAATATTTAAAACAATGGTGTGGTTGTATCTTTTGTGGTTGTATCTTTTGGGAGGCTAAAACGCTTGTAATAGACTAGTGTGGCTTTTGTGATAATTCACGTATTCTAAGGTTTAGCCTAATCATAGCTTATTATATCGCATAGTTTATGACAATAACTAAGAATGATCGTACATAGACATGAAACAGACACATTTCAGTAGTGTTTCCCTTACCTGGTGAAGCAGATTTCTTGTGCAGACTACTGTCGAAGACTTCTAGTTGTAGTCTTCAGTGTAAGTCTGCTATTATAGGTTTAGGGTTTTATCTTGACTTTAACGTCTGCAAAAAAAGCAGAGGAAATTAACTTCGACCAATGTAACCCTTAAAGTATGAGGTAACCTAACACTTACACAATCCGGTCTGATATGTCCTGGTTGGTGATATTTTGAACAACTGTACTGCTTGTGGATCTTACGGGGTTTCTTTTGCTTATGCCTCGAAATTTCCAGCCAAGTTTGCCATCTTGACTTCCTCTGCCTGCCTTTTTTACGTCGGACCTCCGGAGGTAGACATTGTGTTGTTTCATCGGTTTCATTGCAATGCTTGGAGGATATATATTATGCGAGTACGCTGCATACAAGTAATCTTTGGAGTATGTCGGGCATACAAGAGTGGCCAGATGCATATGCATTGCATCTGAAACGGCTATAACATGAGAGCAAGGTATTTTCTCAATATCATACACGCCACACCCACACTTTCGAAGTTCCAAATCAACGACACAGTTATGTGATCCTCCTTTCACATTGAATCGCCAACCATCTATGCCTTCAACCGTCAAATTATCAGCATAATGTGAACGAATTGCCAACAAATATTCAACTCCTCGAGTATGGTTGGTTGGAAGACTCAAAGCATCTTCCCGCCTTTTACAAAACCACTTTGTTAGCTTCGCCCGTAAGTACTCCAACAAGAATACTATGGGAAATCCCCGTGCCCGTTTGAGAGCAGAGTTGATAGACTCTGCGATGTTGCTCGTCTTGATATTGTATCTATCACCTGGAAAGTGAACTCTTGACCACAACTGAATGCCTGCCTCCTCCAGATACGTTGCAAGGTCAGGTTTTATATGCCTTATCTCGTCCATATAACGGTTAAAATCATGTACCGTATATGCATACGCAACACGTTTGACTAAGTACATAAGATGCTTCCCCTTAAACTTAGTGACAATATTGTGTTGCAGATGATAATAGCATATACCGCGTGTTACCCATGGTAAAACAGTCTCACATGTCTTCTTAATGGAATGATGCCGGTCTGAAACTATCACCAACGGATACTCGTCTGTAAAAAAATCCCGCAATGTTCTAAAAAACCATTCCCATGCGTGATCATTCTCAGAGTCCACTATTCCAAAAGCTAGTGAAAATATCTGGAAGTTACCATCTTGTGCTGTGGCCACTAGCAGAGTCCCTTCATACTTTCCAGTCAGATGACACCCATCGACAACAATGACCCGTCTGAGATATTGAAAACCAGCTATGGAGGCTCTGAAGGCTAAGAATAGGTACTTGAACCTATTCTGACTGTCGCGTTCAAGGGCAGTTATAGTACCCGGATTTGCTTCAGCGATCAGATGCAAATAAGAAGGCAGTCGACTATATCCATCCTCAGGGGTTTCCCTCACACATTCTTGTGCATACATCAAAGCTCTATACGAAGTTGTGTAATCTATTTTCAATTGAAACATCGCCTGCATTGAATCTTTGATGTGTTCTGCAGTAATCCCATCAATTATTCCCACACGCATGTGCGGACGAACTACCTAGACTCACTTGGAACAAATTAAGTATATTAACATGTGCGGGCAAACCATCTAAACGCATTTAGGACAAGTTAAGTATGTTAAAAAAATTATATTAATATAATTACGATTGAGTTGGACCAAAAATTATTAATTTATTATTTTTATTGAAGTACTACATATTATTTATTATATATTCCTAATATTTTACTAAAATTAAAAGAATTAAAAAGATTTCATAAACTTATACAATTTAAAATATCTGAATTAATTTGATAAAAAATGGTATGAAATAACACAAAATAATTTACGTGATTGTTGTAAAATTCTAAAAACGGTAACCCACTGCAAACATAATGTTTGTGAGGTAAGGGGGGAACCAATGACTTTAGCCCAAATAGGGACTGACTTCGTAGGAAAAAAAAACTAACAAATTGGTATTACACTAGGGATTAACCCGTCCTATAGTGCGAGAGATATATTTTTAATCTTTAATTAATTTAAATAATTTTATGAAAACAGTTATTTTGTAAAAACAGTTATTGTTATAAAGTTTACAATAATATATTGCATCTTTTTGTGAATTTTAAATAATGAGTTGAATGAATTAGTCCGTATATAAAGTTATTTTATAAGCGTGTAAAGCAAAATAAGTTGTTTTAAACCCGTTGGCACTAAACTAAAATATTATCTAGGCTATTACATAAAAATTATAATATTATAATTATCAACTCTAATTTGCATCATTTAATAATTGACATTTATAATCTGTTCACTAACTATAAAAAAATAATTTTATATTTTTAACTATATATGAAACTAATATAATATTCTTTACACTTAGGTTTGGTATATAATAAAAAAATATACAACAAATTATATTTAATTTAAAAATATATATAATTTAGTAGATTGAATATATTACCTATTTTAAAAAATTAATATTTTGAATTTTGAGATTTTTTTGTGGGTATTAAAAAATTAAAATTATAATATGTTCATATCGAACTAACCCGTTTACTTAACATATTTGTATTGGATTAAAATTTAATAACATTTATAAATCATTTCACCACAAACTTTTTTTATTTAAAAATCAATTTTCCATATCAAATTTTTAGTAAAATAACTAAAAAAGTATTTTTGTATATAATCAATCAAATGTAGCAAATTATTGAAAAAAAATACTTCACCACTTTTTTAATATCATAACTTTTAATTTTGACTTTTATAATATTTCTAAAATCAAAAATTTATTTTTACGTTTTTAATTAAATATACTTTATAATATCATTTGAAAATAAAAATAATAAAAACTATTATATTTTTGAATTTAGAAATTAAATAATAAATATACTCTATTAAATGAGAAATAAAGACTTTCCATATTTTTAGCAATAGAGTTGAAAGACAACTATATCCTTTCCTATTTTAATTATTCTTTGTTATTTATTATGACATATCATGTAATATTTTATAAAATAAAGATTATATTTTAAAATGTCTACTTAAATAATAATATAGAGATAAGTAATCGGTAATATGTGATTATTCTGCAAACTTATTTTAGATCAATTAAAAAAATATTAGAATTTTTTTGGTGAGAGACAGAATAATAATTAGTCATTCCCAAAATGAAAGAGTTTAAAGGTTAAAAATCACTTGGCTTTTAATATATATGATGATCAATCTTTAGCCTAAACCTAAAAAATAGAAACCACCAGCTACTACGATTTGGTTAACTCTAAATGTTGTTTTACACATTTTTTTTAGATAGAGTTTTGAGAAACCAGCACAATTATCTATATTCCAATAGGATGGATGGAAACAATTGTTGGTTACCCAATACAATATAGAATTGATATAAGATTGATGTACATCGAATTATGTAGAAACAGTACATTCAAATCTTACCCAAAAATACAAGAAAATAAATTTATACATTCAAATCTTCATAAGAAATAGAAAACCATTTTTATTTTGAAATGATACCAAAAAAAAAAAAACACTTAAAAACCCATTAGGACAACCTTAAAATAACAAACAATTTCCTCCCTTTTCCTTTCAAACTCATGTCTGAATCACAACTCCTTGTCCCATCATAATCGGCATGTCGTCAATTGCCTTAAGTGGCGGCGAAGGCAATGCCTTGTTGCTTCCGTCGTAAGCCGAGAGGTGAACTCCAATGGCGGCTCTTCCCGATGGATCCATGTTGTTGGACCAGCTTGCATCCCACTCAACTGCCTTTGCTGTCGAGCAAGCCACGGTGGCACCTCCAGGAACAGTTAGCCTCGCAGAGTTCTACAAGAAAACACAGCTCAAAGTTCGTAAACTTGTTTTGACAAAACTGAAAAGTGGAGATTTATAAAAGGAGTCTCACCTGTGGGAAGAACCTTTCAAAGATCATTCTGTAATAGTAAGCTTCTTTTGTGAGTGGAGTGTTGTGAGGGAAGATATGTGCAGCGTTCGACATCATCTTGTCATTAACCTAAAACCAGAACATGAAATAATCAGATCTAAACCGAAAAATAGGCTGATCAGAAGAGAGATGAGATCTTTTTGTGTAGTACATTTTCAGCAGCATGAGCTTTGAGGCCATCGATCC